TGTTCCAGTTATCTTCGAAATCATGAAAAAATTCACAGTGCAGAGAAACCCTATGAATGTAAGAATTGTGGAAAAGCCTTCAGATCTTCCCGTTATTTAAAAACACATGAAAAGATTCATACCAGAGAGAAACCCTATGAATGTAAGGAATGCGGAAAAGCCTTCCGATCCTCAAGTTACTTACAAACACATCAAAGTTCTCACACTGGAGACAAAACCTGTCAATGTAAGAAATGTGGAAAAGCCTTCAGATCTTACAGTTCCTTACAAATACATGAAAGGACTCACACAGGAGAGAAACCCTATGAGTGTAAACATTGTGTTAAAGCCTACATTTCTCCCACATCCCTTCGAAGACACATGAAAATGCATATTTGAAATACTTCTTATCAATAGAAGGAATGTGGGAAAGCATCAACTTGTATCAAGCACATGAAAGATTTCAAACTGGAGAGAAACTCTATGAATGTAAACAATATGGCAAAGCCTATGCAGAACACAGTTCCTTACAAAGAGTGGAACAGACTCATCCTAGAGAAAACCCTATGAATGTAAGGAAAGTGGAAAAGCCTTCACTTGTAACCCAACCCTTTGAAAATCACAGGCTGTGAGTGCACATTGGAGAGAAACAATATAAATGTGAAGAATGTGGGAAAACCTTCAGTCATCCCTTAAAGAATTATTAAAATTTTAATTAAAATATATTTACCAAGTTTCTTTAAGAAATTGGAAACAATTTCTACAACAGTAAACTGCTGTATAACTCAAGGGTTAAAGGTGTGACCACCCGCTCATGCAGTCAGAAATACATGTGTAACTTAAAACCTGTCCTCCACATACACAGATTCCTTACTTTTTAGTCTGAGTGTAATCTGAGTATAAGTGCACCTATGCATTTCAAATGTGTTCAAGGGTCAACTGTAATTACTTACAGAAGTGACTATTGAAGTGAAATAATTCTTCCAGTTGTCTTACAATGAGAGTACATAACATTAATAAGTAGTGATTTTTCATTAAATCAGTTAATAACATTGTCTACATAACATTAATAAGTAGTGATTTTTCATTAAATCAGTTAATAACATTGTCTCTCTACACTTTGAATCCTGTTAGATCCTTGGGTTAATTTAAGTTGTATTTCTAATAATGCAATTAAGTTTAAATTTTTTAAGTTGTTTTGTGTTAGGGCTATTGAAAAATGACAGCTCCTGGATATACTTAGTCTATTATGTATGTTCTCCCTTTCTTACTGAATAAGTTTCTTTTGGCGGGATGGGAGTGCTGACATGTATAACAGCCTTTTTCCATTTTCTTTAAATCAGTTGGAGTAAATTTTTATGTAGGGTTTATGAAAGAATATATTTTTATGTAAAATGTTGTTCTGATTACCAGGTAAGAGCCTTTCAAACTAGATAGACACTCTCAGAATGGGCATTCCTATAGGTCTTTTGGTTTATTGCAATTCTGTACCCTAGCCACCACTCATCCCACTCTTAGATCTTCCCAGGGTCTGTGTATTCTTCATGTCAATACATTTGACCCATGAACAAGGGAGGGGCTGTGATCGCTGACACCACTGTCCCCCCGGACCACCAGCCATCGCAAATCCAACTTAAGTCCACCCTCTGCATTTGCAGATTCCCAACTGCCAGCTGATCTTTGAACAGTGTGGGTTTCAACTGCCTAGGGTTGACTGATGAAAATCCACATATAAGATAACCTGTGCACTTCAATCCTTCATTGTTCAAGGGTGAATTGTATTTTTATTTTATTTTTGTGTGTGTGTGGGGGGGGGGAGAACCTCATTAAAAACCTTTGGCCCATCCAACACAGATGTGCTGTTTTCTGACAAACTGCACCCATGTCCTCATTGTCATGGGAGACAACTGGTACTGACCTAGGCACATGTGATGTCATTCGACAAACAAAAGCAATCAAGAAATGTGGAAAACACTCAAAATACTTGTAGCAGCTAATATTTCAGATGTTTTCCTTGAAGGAAACTTCCCTGGCAGCCATGGTAGTTGACAGACTATTAGTAGCCGGGGAAGAGTTCTGTTCCCCTAAAAGGGCTGCTGGCAGTGAGTCGGTAGGCTAGAGTGGCAAAATGTCACCAATATCACTACAAATAAGACAAAATAAGCACGAACAGTACTAAAATAATTTAATAGGGTTTGAAATCCATCCTGATAGTCCTGATCTCTCCAACACCCTGGAGTGGATTTCTTTTCTTTCTTTCTTTTTTTTTTTTTTTTTTGAGAGTTTGTCACCTTAATTATATGTTGCTTGTGCTTTACACGTGATTTTTCAATTAATATTCAATTCATTTATATCAAATGTGGCTACATTTATTCAACAAACCTTAGGAGTAAACCTTATTAAAACATAACCTCATTTTCGATATTTAACTCTATCGGCTTGAGATACTCCCTCACCCTGCCTGGCCCACAGTGAGTAAGCGAGTTACAAAGGTTGACGCATGCTCCTTTTTGTGTCACCAGGTAGCAGGGTTAAACCTTGAAAACCTGCAGCCTCTGCCCCTACACACACTAAAGGGCCAACTCATCCTTCTCTGCACAGGCCACCTGGACCAGCTTACCCTTGCCTTATTCTCTTAGAAAGCACCACTGAGTAAAAAAATTTTTTTATTCATTTGATATGTGTGATGACATCAGTCTACACCCAATCTCATTTTGAATAGGATGTGAATCCTGCCTCCAAAAGGGCAATAAGAAAACAGAATGTAACAAATGGCAAACACCTTTCTAGTTACACTAAGATATTCAGAGTGGAGAAGTTTGAGAAGATGAGGATGAGAAATCCAAATGCAGAGATCCAAGAATCATCATGTTTGGAGATGCATTGGCTACAAAAGATAAACTTTGAAAACATTTACATGGGCTCTAGTAGTAGAATCGATATGTGAAAATGGTTTCATCTCACAAAGGAAAAATGCAAAGCAACAGAAGCGAGTGGATGGTTTCTGTTCTAACATGTAAAGACCTTGGGGGTGATCATTTTCATCTTCACAAGAAAAAAACTGAAAATCTGAAAATCAAAAGGTGTTTTCGATCCCTGAGGGATTTGAGATTACGTGGCAAACCAGTGTCCCTCAAACGAGAGACATGTAAATATAGAGAATTACCTCTTACTGGGAAGAGAAACGACTGAAACCAGCAACCTTTTGTGTATAAACAAAAATGTTAAGAAATTAATTTGCTGGAGACACAGTGTGGGCTTGCTTGAGAGTTAAAAGCTTTTGGAGGCCAGAGTTAGGAAATCACCCCAATATTTATGAAGTTTTTTTCCACAGGAGCCTGGCTAGGTTTTCACAGTGAAGCCTGGAATATATGGCCTCATGCTCCATGCAGGAAATGTGGGGGAAACATTTGGATATATACACAAAACGTTCTGTTCTCTGTAACTTAGGCCATTCCTTAAAGAAAACTAATTTGCTAAAACCTTATCTGATTGTGGAAAGAGCAGACAACTCTCATATTTTAAAAAAATTTCCTCTCTGAGAGAAAGGAATAAATGCTAAGAACCTTTTGAAGTTTGTAGTCCCAGGGTTCTTTTTCACCAAAGCATTACAGGTTAATCATAATATAAAAGAACATTTTCTCACCCAAACACCTTCCCCTTATATCAATAACGCTCCTGTAAAACAAACAAAACAGTAGAGTAAAACAAAGTTGCAAGACCCAGATTCTACTTAAAATTGAATTCCTAGGGATACCTAAACACACCATAGAAGAAAAACAGACGTACACTAGAGTATATTGAAGCCCCTGACTCCTACAACTATAGAAAACATTAAATATAGTCTAATACCCATTAAATCATGAACGTTAAAGACTTATTTACGTCAAATATTGTGAAAATTCACTAATATGTGGAGATTAAATAATGCACCATCACAACCACTGGGTCAAAGACAAGAGAATTTTAAAATACTCCAAGACAAAAATAATAAAAACAGAACTTACGAAAACTTATGGGATGCAGCATAAGGATTATTATAAGGGACGTTTATAGCGATCAACAGATATTAATAAAAATGTCAAATTAACAACCCGTATTTACACCTTAAGGAACTATTATTAAAAGAACAAGAAACTAAACTCAAAGTTAGCAAAAGTTAAGAAATAATAAAGATTAGAACAGAATAAAAGTATAGAAAAATAGTTGTTTTTTGAAAAAATACAAACAAACCCTTAGACTAAGTATAAAGAAAGAAGACTCAAGTACATAAAATGAGAAGTGAAAGAGAATATATTACAACAGAATCTTCAAAAATGGATCAAAGGACTATCATGGACTTTATATTTAATTAAATCGGATAAGCTAGGAGAAATGGACAAATTCCAAGAGACATACAACTCAGCAACATCAAATTTAAAAATAGCCTGAACAGTACCATAACAAATAACAGATTCATAGAATTAATACTAAACTTTTTTGAAAACCATAAATATTTTTTTCAATTCTGTTCCCATATGAAATGACAAGTGATTAGAGTTTCTACTTTCATCCTATATCAAATTGGTGAGTATTTGCTGGAATGGGCTTCATACTAGATGTTTTGGAGCAGCATAACAGTGAAAGACTCTCTCCAGACCCATGCTCCCCCCAAACTGGTGAAATTTATTCTAATAACAAATCTTTAAAGGCTCTGGATGTGGTCCCAAAGGCAAACGACAAATGAAGAACATCTATTCAAGAAAATCTATGCGACGTTTTTAAAGAAACATTGAAACTAGACACTAAGAAACCAGACACTAACCAAGTTTTTAAAAGTAACCTGTAGAATACAACAGGAAGTGACTAGGTCCCTCCAGCCGCAGGTGCCAGCCCAAACCAGCTGACACTGGCTGAAACCAGTGTAGGTCACCTGAGTCTGCGCAGTTAGCAGTTGAATGACCCAAGCTGACCTCCGAAGTTGAGCGGCAACCAAAGTTCACACTACCAGGGAACTCACAGGTAAAGACCTGGTCTTCCAG